CACATTTTACACCTTCAGAACTCTAACAACAGGCAGATGTGAATGTTTTTCTGGGGAAATGGGGAGGAGGGATTCTGGGGATGTAACCCAAAGCAGCCAGGTCAAAGGGGAAAGTTTCTTTAAGAATCATAAAAATTTTGTATGTGACTTTATAACTTTCCATTTTAAAATCACTAATTACTTGGCAGTGAATCAAATGATGCTCCGGAAGGATTCTCTGGATGTGGCAGGGGTAATTGAACCCTGGCTGAGAAGTGTCAGTTTGCTGTATTAGGATTTCTAGGTGACATTCACATTTTCCCAGCTGTCTTCGGTTCCTCAATCTTTTCCCACTCCTACCAACACCACTTAGAAAGAAGACATATTTATGGAAATTGCTAGCTAGTCAATGACAGAGCCAGCCTTTAATCTAATGAATTCTCGAGAGAGCACTGTTTGATGGCGGGCCGTGTCCTAGGACTCGCAGTCAAACCGTATTTGTAGCTAAGATTCCACTTAGGCTCAGGGCTGACATTGGTCCTGGGCCAAATGCCTCTTTACCTCCCCAGCCTCCAAGCCAACTCCCAGGTCCATTATACTTTGGAAGCTGAGCTGATGGTTTGTGTAATGCCCTCTCCATAAATGATTATGTCTGGCTATCATACATTAAGTGCCTTCTGCTTACAAAGCATAATACTAAGTGTTGTAAGGCATTCAAACCTGAATGGTCCCAGTCTTCAAGGAATTTATATCTCAGTCAGGAAGGCACTTTAGCACTGAACAGTTTTAAAAAGCAAATTGATACATAGTATAATCAATGATAATGCTTTGTTTTTTCTTAAATATTTGGGGGAAAAAATGATAGATACTGCTTTAATGCAAATCACCAGTTCAGATAACTTCTTAGGACCATAGTTATTTTCGTAGCAGACATAAATTCATACTTCAAGCTCATAATCTCTTTAGTGTTTGTGTATCTAAAAACGTTAAGTGGCTTTATGAAGAAGATCCTATTTTATTTTGAATGTTAAATGCTAATGTAGATTTCTTTAGTTGGTTTTTTTAACCCAATTTATTTATTTTGTCCTGAACTACAGTTATCTAACTGCTTATTCAACTTCTCTATCTGGATGTCTCATAAGCATGTTATACTTAAGATTTCCTCAGTTGAACTTGTGACTCTGCCCTCCCCACAGAGCTTACTCCTTACCTGGTCTTCTCCTATATCAGCAAATGGCAGCTCCATTCTACCAGTTGTGTAGCTAAAAACCCTGGAGTCATCCTTGATTCCTCTCTTTCTGTTACATATTACAGTAGCCTCCTTACCGGTCTTACTGCCTCCATCATTATCCCAATCCAGTAGGTTCACTTCACAAAAGCCAGAGTTATTCTGCTAAAATATTTTAAAGTGAAAACATCCTTCTGCCCAAAACTTACTGAAAGCTACCCATATCCCTCAGAGTAAAGTCTGGAATCTTCTCAGTTGCCTATAAGGTCATAAATGATGTGGTCCCCTCTACCTCTCAGACCTCGTCTCCTTCAGCTTCATGCTTTTTCCAATGCACAGTGTACTCTGCACACAATGGCTTACTGCATAAGGATACATGTGGGGAGGTGGGGAGTGGGAGACCCAAGTGGGAAAAGAAATCTGTCCAGAGTAAGAGGCAGCTTTTGCAAATGCACACAAGGGTGCTTTTAAGGCTATTGGCAGTCCTTAAGGCTTTCTTGCTAGTGCATGAACAGAGCAAGTATGCCTTTTTCTCAGGTCTTTGTACATGCTGTTTCTCCCTTCCCTCGGATATTCTCATCCCTCTCTTCATTTAGATTTCTGCTCAAATGTCGTGTTAGAGAGGCCTTCTCTGTCCCTTCCCCAGTCTATAAAATAGTGTGTTTCTTCACTTTTTTCCTTCTTACCCTGCTCTATTTTTCTTCATATCATTTATTACCACCTGGCATGGTATATACAATAGTCCCCCCTTATCCGTGGTTTCACTGTCTGTGGTTTTTGTTACATGCAGTCAACTGTGGTATGAAAATGTTAAATGGAAAATTCCAGAAATAAACACTGTTTAAGTTTTAAATTGTGTGCCATTCTGAGTAGTGTAATGAAATTTTGTGCCATCCTTCTCCATCCGCCTGGGATGTGAATCATCTCTTCGTCCAGTGTATCCACTGTACGTATATATGCTACCCACTTGTTAGTCACTTAGTAGCCCTCTCAGTTATTAGATCAACTGTCATGGTAATACAGTGCTTGTGTTCAAGTAACCCTTATTTTACTTAATAATGGCCCAAAGTGCAAAAGTAGTGATGCTGACAATTTGGATGTGCCAAAGAGAAGCCAGAAAGTGCTTCCTTTAAGTGAAATGGTGAAAGCTCTCAACTTAATAAGGAAAGAAAGAAATCATATGCTGGGGTTGCTAAGATCTACAGTAACTTTTGTTACATATATTGTTATAATTGTTCTATTTTAGAATTAGCTGTTGTTAATCTCTTAGCGTGCCTAATTAATAAATTAAACTTGATCATAGGTGTGTATGTATAGGAAAAAACATATAGAGTTTAGTACTATCCATGGTTTCAGGCATCCACTGAGAGTCTTGGAAGGTATCCCCCATGGATTGGGGGGACTCCTGTCTTTGTTTACTTGTGGCTTCCATCTCTAGAATCTAGGCTTTAAGAGAGCAGCAACTTTGTCTTTTTGTTCACTGTTGTATAGATCCAACATTTAGAAATCACATTTAGAACGAAGGAGGCACTCAAAAAAAATTTTGACAAATGAAATTATTTATGTGTTTGTCTGTTAAGTCCCTTTCTTATCTGTTGAGGGTCAAATCCTGAGTGCTGTATGCAGGAGATACCAGTGATAAACACAACTGGCCCTATCACTGCCCTTGGCGCCAAGAGTTTTGTAAATAGGGCTTTAAGATCATAACATCGTTTTCTGTGCCACAGGATGTGAGCTGGTTCGATAACCCTAAAAACACCACTGGAGCATTGACTACCAGGCTTGCCAATGACGCTGGTCAAGTTAAAGGGGTACGTGCCTCCTTTCTACTGGTGTTTGCCTTAATTGGCCATTTTGAATCTCAGCATGAAACTAATTTTCTCATTACAGGTGTTAGTTCGCATCATCATTAAAATGTTAAATAAATATTTAACCATACATCATGTGCTTATAGCAAAAATGTTAACTATTTAAGCATCATACAGTTTAGAGTATATAGATAATTTACAAGCTTTCTTTTGTTATTTGCTGTCTTATTCATGCTATTAACAAAATACATGTGGAAGGATGACTTTAGAAAAAGAAGTATTTATCAGCGTATCATGTAAGATCAGACTGTTTTAATGTTCAATTAATCAACAGAAAATTGTAATTGCTTCTGAAGAAAGAATGTGTAGATGCTATAATAAAGTTTATGGGTACAACAGTTCAGAAGACAGGGAAGAAAATCTGAAAAGAAGTTGAAAGAAATGAAAAGCACATGAAAAATTAGAACAAAGGCGGAAGAAACAACTTTATCACAGTATAAAACTTAAATTTTGCTACTACATGAATCTCTTTAATTAATATAGCGAGAAACTGTTGAACCAGAAGTTTTGATTTGTGGACGAAGTGACAATTTCTACTTTTACAACTACAACTGTTGGTAGCAAAAATCCACAAGATGCTGTGAAATCTGAAAAAAGAATGTGACCTCTGCCCTGTCTTTCCCTCCCTTGAACTTTATCAATCTTACTTTTTAATCTTTCCGTACTGTAGTACTATAATAACATTCCTTCTGTCTAATATATGGGGCTTCTGTAAGAATAAATTAGCTTATGCATGTGGAAGCATACAGAGAGTTGTAAAGTTGCAATATAAATCTTAGGAATTGTTGTTTTAATATAGATTTCTTTGGTTAAACCAAACACATCAACAGAAATTGAGGTTTAGATCAAGTTGTATAGAACCTAACTGAACAGACTATGCACTTACTGAATTAACTTTGAACTTCCTAAATCAGACAACAGCCCTGCCATAATGGAGTCTACATGGTATGTCAGATCGTCATAAGTGTTGTAGAAAAAAAATGGCAGCACGATATGGGACTAGGAGCTTGCTGGTTGCCAGGGAAGGGAGGCCTCAATGATATGGTGATATATGCAAGAGGCATGAAGGAAGGAAAAGTGCCAGGCCTGTAGATGTTTAGAGAAGAGCGTCCTAAACAGAAGAACCAACAAGTGCAAAGGCCCCGAGGCTGGAGCATTTCTACCACTGTTCCCACAACAGAAGGAGGATAGTGTGGCTGGAGTAAAGTGAGTGAAAGGAAGAGTCCTAAGAGTTGAGGTCAGCATTATATCCAGAATTAGATGGGAAATTGTCTCAAGCATTGTTGAGTTTTGAACACCAGAGTGACATGATCTGAAATTTTTAAAGGCTGCTCTGTGAATAGGCTGCAGGGGGCAAGGATGGAGGCAGGGAGTCTATTGCAATAATCCAGGGGAGGGATGATAGTGTTTCAGACTAGGATGGTCACAGTGAAAGTGATAAAAAGCAATCAGATTCTGAAGGTACAGCCAACAGAACTTGTTGGTTGGATGTGGGATATGAGAGAAAGGGGATTTAAGGATGACTCCAACGTTTTTGACCTGCACAACTGAAACAGTGGAGTTGCTTTTTAATGAAGCTGGGAAGCCTGTTGAAAGAGCACGTTTTGGGGAGAATCAAGCATTCTATTCAGAACATAGTAAGTTTGAGATCCCCCATTAGATATCCAAGTGGAGGTGTCAAGAAGGCAGGTGGATTTGCAAGTCTGGAGTTTAGCAGAAAACTCTGGTCTGGAAATATACATTTGGAGGTTTTTCAGTACATTGCTGGCTTTTAAAGCCATGAGACTGAAGATAGCCAAGGAAGCATGTGTAGATAAAGAAGATGGCAAGGCTGGGCCCTGAGCTCAGGGCTGTGACGATGAACCAGCAGAGGAGAGGGAGAAGGAGTGGCCAGTGAGGGAGAAGAGCGGTGTCCTAGAAACAAAATGAAGAAAGCGTTTTAAGGAGGGAGCAGCTAGGA